AATCTCTAAACATTGATAGAAATGAGTATAAAACTTTTAGAGTGAATCTTACTCTAAAAAGTGAAGTCTCTTTTAAAGATTAAAAATTAAGCTACTCTTTTTCAAGACTGGCTGAATTTTGACCTTTTTTTAGAGTGAAGATTCCATTCTAAAGAGTTTAGAGAGCCGATAAAATATGTTTATTCTATATAAATTTATATAACAGGAAGATTTCAAGCAAACATAAACAGCCATTTGTTTCAGAAAACCTGGCACAAGAGATTCTGCCAGCTTTTCAGAACGAGTAACTACGGGATCAAACGTGTTGAGATCTATGACAATCAGGAAGAAGCGATAATGCAGTCCCACTCTCCACGCATCATCACGCTGGATGCCTGTATAAAAATTGCACCCAGCAATCAGTCGCACGTTTTTACCGTACGTATTTATTCTGCCATCGAATTCGTTTCGTGTGTCTAAACAAATGTTTCACTGTTAACTGTCTCTAAAACTGTCTAAAACGACAGCTTTTCACATGTCCGTATCATACACAGGTAGTGACTAAATCAGGAATACACTATTTTGGCTGTTACTCGGAAATTGAGATGACTCACTGGATCACGGCGTTCCAATTAGTCGCATTCAAGGACAGTGTATCGAATCAAATAGAAGAAAATAACGATCTGTATTGCACTAGTGGAGAAGGTGTATTTTCCGTGAAAGTTGTAGAAACGGATGCGTCTAAGCGGTGTGGATTGGAAACAAGAAACTATACTTTGATTGTTGCCACCGTGGACATGAAGCTGATGGACGGTGACATTGTTCTCTTTACATGGCCATATAGGTATATCAGGAGATACGGATATAGGGATGGAAAGTTCATCTTCGAGGCCGGGAGAAAATGCGAGTCCGGCGAGGGATCCTTTCGCCTGGAGCATGGTAGCCAACAGGAGATCTTCCGATGTATGTACGCCAAAATGAAGTCCATGAAGAAATTATTGGACGAAGAGAGTAATCCAAACATAGAATGCAACGACACCCAATTCCAGGCAGCCTTATCTATGGAGCCTGGCTCTCGAGCGGCTTTACCACCCTCTTCAAACAATTCTAACAATTTGATTGATATAGATTTTTCTACGCAAAGTTCTCAGAAGCCCTTGACTTCGTCGTCGAGTATGGATTCTACAATCTCGTCGAGCAGATCGATAAATAAGTCCAAGCCCGCCAAACCACCACGAAAATACGTCTTCCCTAATATGCTCGAAAAAAAATGTCTCGACTCGACGGAATTCCTAGATTTGCCTACATGCGGAGAATATAAAAATGTAAGCCAAGGTAATTCCCCGGAATTATCTCATAAGAGTATCGGCAGTGTCATGCGCGAGAACGAGGAGAAGCACTCGTACGACTTAGTGGAAATTAGGAATGACGCTTGGAAGACGCATGGTATCGATAGCGTACATCATACGGAAAGAGTAAACTCAAGTCTACCTGGCGAGAGAGATAAGGAAAACGATAACGACGATTTGCAGTATGAAATTATGATGCCGATACGGAATCACGATGCATTCCAAAATTCGTGCAAAAGTAAATGCGGCGATAACGCAATTGTCACGCCATCGGCGATACAAAGTGTCGCCAAGACAGACGAGTCGGATTACGATAAATTAGAACACTTTGGATCCGCGACAAAACTTAATCAGAAGTCTACGTACAAGTATACGAATTCCTCGCAAAGCATACATTCCAACGTCTCCCATGGGGAAAGTTCTAATCATGTTAATCCGACGTGGTCTAATTACGAGCTCGTCGAAGATATGTCCGCTGTCAGGTTAGCCGACGACAGCCATCTCGGTTATGGAATTATCCGGAAGAAGCCGGATATTTCCGACACAGCTTCCACGGGTAATACCGCGGGTGGTCCACAGCATAAAGTTTTCAACAACAGCGAATATGCAATTGTATCGAAACCAAAAAGGGTGTAAAATACCCATACATTCGAGTATCCTTTCAAAGTACGATGATCATGCCACAAAAATTCGCTTCTACAAAATTCTTATCTTTTTGTAATTAATTATTTGTAAGGATATGAAGAATATGCTAGTCTACACCGCGTGTGGTGAGAATAAAAGTATTTCTCTTGCTTTATAAAATGATTGACACGCGTTGCAAAATGATAAAAATAATTTCATTATTTTCGCATTGTCACATCTGTCCTATATTTTTATTCTTTTTACATTATTTTTAGAGACTAGTCTTAATTGCTAATGGGTGCTTTCCAATTGCAATATCCCTAGACACTTTCGTGCACACGGCGACACAAGTTGCGTTAATACGGTCCAATTGCCCGTTATCGTCGACAACACCACACATCTGTACTCAGCCGAGGGTCATGTAAGCTTGTGTTTTCTAGTGACAATTACATATGTTACTAACCGCAACGGCTATAAATGAGATTGGAGAACGTTGAGTGGCCGGCACTTTTATTTTTTTTTATTTAATACAGGCGGAAAAAGTTACATTTAATCTAAGGCGTTGTCTACAATATGCGAAGTAAGCTTGGTTTAAGAAGTAAGAAATTGACTAATCACAGTCGATTGTGAAAAGAATAATTGGTCTTCTTAAACCAAGCTTACTACGTGTTTATTATTATAGACGGGCCTTAACTCTATCCGAAATGGATCGAAACCATGCACAGCGTACACATTCTGTTCCAATTGAATCATGCACAATACTAGACTTTGTGCATTCCTGTGTACGTTTGTGTTAAGATGTGTTAAGCAATTGGAAAGTACCCATTATTATAGATACGATATCTAGAAAAGTATAAACGTTCAAAAATTCCAGAAACATTTGTGCCTTCGTATGAAATATATTCTAATATTGAGTAGGAAATCTCAAAGTGATTAATATTTTATCTAATTGCATTCGACTGATTTATCAAAATACTTGTATAGTGCCTTATAGAAACAAAAATGTTTTAATTGATGCCAAAATGACACTAAATCGTTGTAAACATGCAAGCGCGTTAAAGTCTTTTGATATTGAGTATATGTATTGGTGTACTTAGAAATTTATTATTATATATATTACAATCATAATTTTTTATTGCTACTATCATGTCTATTTTCAACTGTATCAGTGTTGTCGCTCTTACTTCACTATTGTTATATATATATATATATATATAGATAATTCATTTTATTATCATATCTCTAAAAATTTAAAAAATACATTTTTCTATACAGGCATGTTATAAATTTGATTCATTTAAACAGTGCTATCATTTTGCTTTAAACTATCAATATATAAATATGTACATAATTTGACACAAATGCTTTCATAAAGAGATAATTAACAGATCATCACAATTGGATAAACTTATAAATATTTAATATTATATGCTGCCGTAATTTTATATACACATATTGTATATGCATAATGAATATTAGTGCTTTCATCGGCGATCGAATCGATGTGCCTTAATATAGATATTAATCCTATGAAAATTATTATATTGGATTTAAAAGAATATATTTTAAAATATTAAAAGTACAAAAAAATGTTTTATCAGATGAAATGGTGTATACTTATTATGTACTAGGAATTAAATGCCTATACCAATCGAAGCTGAATATTTAATGCTTTAAATAATTCATTGTAAATTATATATATACATATACTATATATGTACATGCACATATACTATATTTGTAGTTATTCGAATCGCGCGCCGAATTGGTTTTCCGGACTTATAAACGCAATTAAACTACAGTAATAATATCACGAATTAAATTGACAAGCAATTTTTAATAATTTTTGATGCTCAATCAGGCATCATATTAAAAAGATGTTAATGTGCTGAAAAACTAAATTAATTTATTGCGACAAATATTACTTCGGCCGAGAGTCGAATTCGGATCTCTTGTATTCCGTACGAGCGTCCTAAGCCTTTAGACTACTAATTATTAAAAATTGCTTGTCAATTTAATTCGTGATATTATTACTGTAGTTTAATTGCGTTTATAAGCCTGGAAAACCAATTCGGCGCGCAGTTCGAATGACTACGAATATGGTATATATACATGTACATATATAGTAAATATATGTACATGTAAATATATAATTCATATTAAATTATTTAAGCATTAAAGATCCAGCTTCGACTAGTATAGGCATTTAATTCCTAGTTATTACATGTATGATCTAAAATAATATTCTTATTGTCTTATTACGTACATTACAAATGTATATGAGGCACATGGACTATTCACTCGTAAGAAACTATTATTATTCATTATGTTTAAATTAATGACTACAAGTCATATGCAATAATGGTATAAATAAGAATAAATACCTACTTTTATATATTTTTTCTATTTGTAGATTCTTTTTACAAAATTGTATAAAGTATCAATGATTTTAAGAATTTGTTGAGAAACCATTTGTAATAATACCTTTGTGCCAAACAAATGGTCTACATTGATTGAAATATCGATTAATATATATATAAATAGATAATTATTCATAAGAGAATACATCGTGTAATATGGTTCAATTAATATAAATTAATAATAAAAGTGTTGAGAAAGGCTACGAACCATAAGAAAACAATATGTAAATAATAGATATAATATAATTAATAAGAACAAACAAATTAAAAATAATACAAAACGTATTATTTTTAATTTGTTCTTATTAATTATATTATATCTATTATTTACATATTGTTTTCTTATGGTTCGTAGCCTTTCTCAACACTTTTATTATTCATAAGAATTGCGCCAATTGATAAATTCTAAAATATATTGAACAGACATGTAAGATAAAAATTATTTTTTAAAACAAGTATTGTTAGACTACTTCTAGCAGATATAAGTATATTTAAAAAATATATACATGCGTAAGGTTGATTCTTACATGTAATCTTCTACTTCTTTTGTTTTTCAGATATCAGTAATGTAAAAAAAAAACAGTAAATATCAGTAAATGTGAATCTACAGATGAATTTTGTTGTTTTAAAATTATGTTCCAACCACAGCGCGACAATACTTTCACCTAAACATAAATTAATGATTTGTTTCAGTATATTCGACATTTATAAAACTTGCATACATTTTATGGCTGTATTTATTAACGTTACATATTATAAACATACAAATTCTGCAATAAATTTATAACAAAACATTTTGTACTTGCCTACACTTATATTCTACTTTTATTTGGAGAATAAAGGCTAGCATTCAAAAGGAATTTTAACTTCCCTGTGATTTCTCAATCATTTTAATTTTATCAGAACATTCGTCGTCTGGTTTTATTTCATCAGCATCCTTGTTCTGCGTCTTGAACTCCTCCTTCGAAATGGCCTCGTAATAGCCATCCATATCATTTATTACCTTTCGCACAGTCTCTCCCTTCAGTTTCATGATTCTTTCGATATTTGTTCTTTTACCGATTTCCGAGAACCATCCTAAATTATCAGCAATAAGATGATTGTTCCTGCAACCGTCGCATCTCACTATCACTACTCCTTTATTGTACGCCAGCTTCGATATCAGCTTGCTTGTTTTCATTTGGCATTTCTTGCATGTAAACATTAGCCTCATCTTCCCCTCTAATTTGCCCAATTCTATACGAGTGCCACTGTCCTCGTGAGTAAATCTCACGTGATGGAGTGCTCCGGTGACGCTTGGTTCGCGCAAAATTGGAGCGTGACAACGTACTGCATGTCGAGTGCACACCACACGTGCACCAAGACGCAGAATGGGCAGCATCTCGAGCTTGCATTAAGAGTTCCTCTAGGAACACTAGCTTGCGTACCCGACGACGTCGCACCGCGTTCTGTCACGCGGTTTTCGTGGCGTAAAAATAAAATAAGCTTCGCACGTGTCCGTCAGCCTGTCAGAATTATCGAAATTTTATGACGTCTACGCCTGAGATCTTCCAAAGAATAGCGAGAATCTGCGAACAAATTAAACGACTGTACTTATGACTGATCCCACGGCCAATTGCATCATATGTTCCCTCCAATCTCCAGAAACCTCGTGTTTTTGAAATATCGCAGTAAACAATACTGCCGGTCCTGTAAGAAGTCTGTTACTTTCAGCCATTTTCAATGTTTCCTCCTTTTTTCTCCAACATGGATGGAAAAGAAAGATAGATAAACGGTGTAAAAAGTTCAGCTGAAAAGAACAGATCTATGATATAACCTCAAACTTGAAAGGATTAAATTATTTATTAACACTGAAAATATGTAAACCAATTTGCTCTCAGTTGCAACCAGTATTATTATTAGACTATTATTATTAGACTATCATTATTAGTACTATTATTAGACTAGTTTTCCCATTGAAATTATTGAAAATAGGAAATAGACGGCGATGATAATGCGTTCGTAAAACTATCCTCTTCCATCCGCCAATCGAGCGGGAACTCGAGAAATCCGGAGTTGCGTTCAAAAACTCATCCGATTATAATGTATTTAAAATGAGCAGTGGATGTAAACAAGAATTTGATTTGAACGGTCGTAACGTAAATAATTGTAACTGTCATCACTTGGATTACGCAGTGCGTAGCAAAGCGGACGTACCAAGCGGACATTGCGTCGCGAAAAAACCCACGAAGTCGCTGAGGATTGTTATTTCGACGTGAATATTCGAGTCGCCAAGTGACGCGCATTTCCGCGTCATAACCTACAAACTTTTGTTGACGATAGATGCTAAAGCGATTTATAAGTATTAAAGCGGGCTAGGTATGTTTTCGTTCGATTGTTGCTCGCCGAGCAACGAGAATTTACAGGACGATTGAACGCGTCGGCGGGACCCGGGGATGAGAGGCCGAGGATGCGAGAGAATGTATCGTAGACAGTTAGTATTAGTATGGAATACGACTCGGAATCCAGTTACGAGGGCCGTCGTCTGAGAGACTTGGAGAATCCGGACGAGCCGGCGCGTGAAAAATGCAACGACGTCCCGGCGTCGTGCCATTCGCCGCTGTCGGTCAAACCGCCCAAGTTCAGACCGCACCTCTCCGACAAGAAGAGCCTCTCCGCGCAGGTAATGGAATATTATCGCAAGTATTCCCAAGATCTTAATTTGGATCAGTATTTCTCGCTACCTGTGTCGAATACTCCGCAGGAGGCTATTAAGAATTATTACAGCTTGTACGAATTAAACGCCCAAGTGGGTACATCCAGCAGACAGGGCTGCGTCGGAGAGGAGTACAATTTGAAGCCCTGCGTGCCGAAAGAGAGGCGTAGGTGGATAAGACCCCCGTTGATCGGGCAGTCCTCGAACACGGATCCTTCTCTGGATCAGGCCTCGTCCAGGTATGTTCAACCGTTGATAGATATCCAGACGCCATCGCCAGATCTCAAGCGTATTACCCCGGAAACGATACACGAGGAGAGGAACGAGAGTCAGGAAAAGTTTCCGGAGGTGAACGAGAGAAAACTGTCCTCTCCGACCTCCAGCGTGGCATCCTATAAACCACTGGAGTGGGACAGCGGCGCAGACGTCGGTTACTTCAATTCACACGCTCACAATAAGCAAGACGACAAAAAGTTGAGCACCATAGAACGTATGGCTTTAGCACGAGGATGCTCCGCCGCCTTACGATTAGATCCGGAAGGTACCACTGAATCAGGGATGCAATCCGGGAAGAACGCGACGGCACCGAGTGGTTTAAAATCGTCCACGGCTCCCGATGCGAACTCCACGCCGTTAATCGGAAATGTTTCGGGATCGGAGAGCGAGATAGAGATAACACCTATTGTAAAGAATCATTTGCCAGGCATTATAACGGGAGATGACATAAAGTCACAAGAGAGACGCGTTCCAAGTGATCCCATGCAATTGAAAGCTGTAGTAAGGCCTACCAGACTGGAGATACACGACACTCCCACGTCGACGTTTAAGGTTCCATTAGCAAAATATTCGACGGTGGAGAAAAGGATCGTAAATAAACGCAAGGAAGTCATTCGTCCATCGAGTTCGCCATTGAAGAAAAGCATCTCGATGAATGTAATACCCCCGTTATCATCGAAATGCTTGTTGAAGAGGAGCCAGAGCGAAGTAAATCTTCACGTTAAAGAAAGGAAAACTGTATTTCCTCTAATCTTTAACTCCACGTCCTCCATCTCTACCGTAGTGAATAAACCCGCCACTTGCGACAAGGTGATACAAACGAGTCCTGATGTGTGCACTCAGGAATCCATTGGCGTGCAGGTTTCGGATTTTGAAGAAACGAAACCGCCGACAGTGGAGAAGGATCCTAATCTGCAAACGGCGATACATTCTATTTTGAAAAGGTCTAAAGGTACATATAAAATTAAAAATCCGAGAAAATGCGACGTTTCTCGTTCGGCAGGCGACACCGAGGTCAGCACGGAGGCGAAGGAGAGCCAGAAACGTCGAAATAGCTCGGACATCTCGCAGAACGTATCCACCTCGGCGACACCGCAGCCTGATGAGACGGAAAACGTATCCGGGAGAGCCAATAGTTTCGAATATTTTCCGGGACACACCTACGCGAACGTTCCAAACGGAAGGGACAGCCACGTTTCCTCGGATACCGGTAGATCGAACTCGACGTTACCAAACAGCAGTTCCAGTGTCAACGATAAGCTCTGGGGAGATTCGGACAGCTTGGTTCGAGATTTGGAGAGAAGCGTCAACATCTTGAAGAGTCTCGTCGACGCTAATAAATGCGACAAGCAGGTCAAGAAAAGACTGATACAGCACGTGATTAAGCGACTCATAACTGCGAAATATACAGACGACAAGATAGAGCATAATTTGGAGGATAACGTTCCTTGGAATCCGGATGATGCCAGGAACAAGGTATACCGAGCCGAGCTGCTTCAGGCCCTGACGAACAAGCATAGCACCACCGAGTCCTCGGATGAGTGGAACCTGCAGAAGAAGGACATATCCATGCAGAAATCGATGGGGACTACCAGCGACGTCATAAAGGAAGTCGCGTTAGAGAGTAGTAACAGCGACAAGTTTGACCGACATACTGATAGAACGGAAATGGACGGTAGGAAAGCACGATTAGGATTGAGAACGGATGACTGTCAGCAAACTAGTAATACGCCAACGGATCCCGATAAGAGCGAGAGCTCCGAATGCTTTGTGCCTCAGCGCAATCATAAGAACGCTAAGGTAAATGATATATTTTGTTTCAAGGAGAACTGCAAACTGCCACACAGAGAGTCAACCACGACGAACAGTATACCACCGGATCACAACAGGATCTTACTGGACGCCGTCGTAAATAACAGAAGAACACCAGTCGAGTCCAACAATAATACGGATAATAATACCGATTGGAGATTACCGACGACGTCGTCTGAAAGACAATTTGAATTGAAGAAGTGCAGCATATCCGAATCTGGTGATTCCAAGCTCGTTAATTACGCCGAGATGGAGAAAAGAAATCAACTTATTTGGATTACAAATGAGATTAGTCATCTCTGTAATTTAAAAAAGTATGTGTTGCTCTGTTTTCTAACTTTTTCATTTTAGCAAACTCCGTTTTTTTAATCTTATATCTTTTAATTTGGATTTCATTCTATTTGCTAGATTGCTGGAACAACCCAGGCGATTGGAAAGACCAAAATCATCACCAAGAAAATCTAAATCGGCGAATCTTAAGTCGAAGCAAACAGCGATACCTAGGCGGGAACAACGCGCGGATGCCATGCATAGGTAACTCGTATTTGTTTATAATATATTGTAATGATTGTACAATCTGAGCCGATATTTATATCACAGTAAAAAATATTTTGTATTTGTGTTAGAAACGGTCCACTCAAATCCTTGTTAAAATTTTGTGTTGAATTTTTAACATATCCGAGTTTTAATTTAACATAATGTGATTATGTTATTTGAATATTTTATGTTAAATTAAAATTTAACTTTTCTTAGTGTTAAAATAACATAATTTATAGGTAAGTAAACAAATAACATAAAAATAATGTAGTTTTAAAATACAAATTCTAAGAATAAATGAATAAAATGTGTGTTGATTTAATATATTATAAATGTTAATTTTATTGAAGAAACATGTTCTGTACAACTAGTTACATATTTTATATGTAAAAAGATACAGATATTTTGTGTTATTTTCTCTTTGTAACAATAAATATCTATATATTGCATATGTTAAATATCACAGAGGCATTGTCTAAACTAAAAATAGCATCTAATTTCAGTTAAATTTAACATTATAAATGTATCAATTTAACATAAAAAAATTTGTTTTTAAATTGTGTTAAAATATTACGCTTCTTGTGTTAATTTTTTAATATAATATTTGTGTTACTTTCTAACATTTATTTTATATAAGACACTCTTCCCGGAAAGTTGAGAGGTCCCAGGTTCGAACCCTGACTGAGGTAATACTTTTTGCAATAAGTTTCTTTCTCTCTTTCTTTCTTTCTAATCTATTTAGGGAGGATTAATAATTTAGGGAGGATTATTAGCGTTTCAGAATGATTGTGTTGAAAGTCCGAAAGTTATCTGCGCGCAATCATATCTGGAAAATAAATTGATTTAATAAAGAATATAATGTATTATTCAAAACGTCTAACTTTGACTGATCATGGCTTTCTTTCGTATTTGATATATTTATCTTATGTTAAATTAACACAAAAATTTGAGTGGACCGTTTGGGACATATGAAATGTGTTAAATTTAACACAAATTTGTTTACTGTGTAGTCCCGTATTAATACGACTTTGTGATTGATTTATTTATGACATCTTAAGACTATACTAAAACAGTCTTAAATATAAGAACCGAATACTATGAATACCAGCTACATATAATGCAGTGACTGTAATTCGTACAATCTAACACCATTAAATTTAATGTTCTCAGGAACATGTCCGACTTGCGGGAAGATTCCGTTAACGAGCCATGGTCGTCTCACTGCAATTTGGCGGCGTGTGAAGCCGCTGGCGATAATGTGGTTCAGAGGATCATGAAACGCAACAGTTGCACTCAAACGGCCACGGGCGTGGCCAGTGCTTATTCGAAGACTGGCGGGGAGATTGTGTCTGTTGGCAGAACGCGGAGATCTGCGACGA